AGAAGGAGTAGGAGGAAGGAGGAGCAGGAGAAGGAGGTCGAGCAAAAGGGCCAGAGGTCTCTTGGATGCCTCTCGGAACCTCTTGAAATATCCTTTGGGCGCTTCTTGGTGGCCTTTTCGGACGTCTTGGGGGTCTCTTGGCGGTCCTGGGGGCTCTTGGGCGTCTTGGGTGCCTCGGGGGGGCCTCTTGGAACGTCTGGGTGGCATCGTGGGTGCCTCTGGGGTCCTCTTGAAGCCTTTTGAGGGCCTCTTGGGGGTCTCTTGGGAGCCTCTCGGAGGCCTCTTGGGGCCGTCCGGGCGCCTCTTTGGGCCCCCTTGGGGTGCCCTTGGGAACTCTAGGAGCGCTCTTAGGGCCATCTTGGAGGAGATTGATCAAAGAAGAGGGGAGTCTTTTTTAGCTTCCCCCCCCCCAAGAGGCCAACATGGGGCCAACACCCTAGTAAAACCACTGATTTGGGCTTCCTCGCCGAGGCCATTTTGGACGCTCCAGCGCGTCGCGGTCCCCCCTCCCCGTCCAGGTCCAGGGGAGGGGGTCTGGGGAGGGGTCAAGACACCCACCCGCCCGCAAACCGTCTCGCTCACTCCCACCCGCCCTACCTACATATAAGTAACACCCGAGCCTGAGCATGTTCAGCGGTCGTCTCTGGATGGGCAGCTACTGGGAACCGAAGCCGACACCAGGTGCGCGACGTTTGGGCGATGTGCGCCACGCGTGCCATGCAGGGGCGCCACGCGCGCTAGGCACCCCTGGGGCCCGAGCGTGCCATGCACGCCTGGTGCGCCAGATGCGCCACGTGCTCCGAGTGCACCAGGTGTGCCGCACACTCAAGCCGCGCCAGGTGCGCCGTTTTCGGGGCACGTGCAGAGTGCGTCAGGTGCGCCTGCTCATGTGACAGCACACATCGGAAAACATGTCAGCACCCGCCATCCTTGTCGAAAGCCGATGCCCATCATTGTGTCTGCTGGGCCTGCGCACAGCAGGCCACGCGCCACCATCCCCGCCGTCCCTGTCAAAAACCACTTGACAGTGATCGCGGGATGGCCGCGCATGATCCAGATTTAGCCGCGAGGTGCATGTTGTATCGTTTTTTTGTCAGGGATGGTAGCCGTGCGCGCAGCAGGGATTATGCTGACACCCCCGCCGTCCTTGTCAAAAACAATGCGAAGTGCTCGCGGGCCTCACGAACATGACTCAAGGCTTTGCCCCAAAGTGTACTTTGCATTGATTTATGAAAGGGATGGTGGGGGGGCTGCATCGGGTTGGCCGCGCATGCTCCAAATGTGGAGGCAGAGTGCCGTTTGTATGGTTTTTGACCGGGATGGTGGGGGGCGGGTGGGCATGGTGTCGGCAAGGTGCCTGGTTGGCCCCTGGTCGCCTGGGGGAGGGGGTTTTATTAATAAGGAAATAAGGAAGAGTGATAAACCCTTCCTCGAAGGGGAAGAAAGGGGGTTGGAAGAGGAAGCTCCCTAGACCACCTACGCCCAGAGGGCTGGTGGGACTCATAGCCAGCACCTTCGCGTGGAACATCCTGAGAAAACCGGCCGTCCGAGCCTCCCCAACACAGGCCTTGCTTTTTGCGAACTTCATACCGGCGCCCTCGGATGGTACACTCTCAGGAAAGCCGGCCCCCAGAGCCTCCGCAAGGGGGGCCCCCAGACGCGCGCCATGGCGCGCCAGGCGTGCCCCAGTGTGGGGCTCGCGCTCGAGACGTCCTCGCAAAAGTCGACCCCTGGCGCGCCGGGGCGCGCCTGGGCGCACCAGGTGTGTCCCAGTCCGGGGCTCGCGCTCGGGACACCCTCGCAAAAGTCGACCCGGGCGTGTCTCAATCTGGAGCTCCCGCTCGAGGAGACACCCTTGCAAAGTCGTCAAATCGGGCCCGGAGCCCCAGACCCCATCTTACTGCGTCATTTCTCGGGCCGGATCGATCTGTGAGGGTCCCGGGGCCCGAGAAGAGGCGAAAACGCCCGGCTCGACAAAATTGAGTCGCCAGGATCTCAGGGTCCGTCTGGTGGCCCCAGAGGCCACGACCCCTGAACGGAGCGGATACTGACGGCCCCCAGGCTAGGAGAGGGCCCCCGAAGGGCCGCCTCCTCCTCCTCCTCCTCCTCCTCCTCCTCCTCCTCCTCCTCCTCCTTCGCCCCCACCCATGCCGCCGATGTCTTGAGACCGAGGGCGCGGCGGCCCGAACCACTGCCGCCGTGGGTGCGTGATCGCCGCCGGCCCGCGCCACCGCCCGGGCCCCGAGGCCCCGGAGGGGGGCGCCCGCCGCCGAGACGGAGGCGCCCACCTTCGCCGCCGCGCCCGCTGGGGGCCGCAGTTCGCCCGGCCGTCCCCTCCTTTGGCGGCGAGGAGGAGGAGGAGGAGGAGGAGGAGGAGGAGGAGGAGGAGGAGGAGGAGGAGGAGGAGGAGGAGGAGGAGGAGGAGGAGGAGGAGGAGGAGAGCGGCGCGCACGACCCGCTTCGGCCGCCGATCGATCGTGCTGCCGCCGCCGCCGCCGCAGCTGCCGCCGCCGTCTTCGCTGCCGAGGATCGAGGGCATCGGGTTTCCTGGCACCTTGTGTTAAGTCGGGCCAGTCCCTCTGCAGGAGGACAATTCAAGAATGGTCAGAAAATAGTCTGGGGACGATTTTTGATTTTTGCCCCTTTGGGGGGCATTCATTGTTGGACTCTCTTTAATGTTTCGTCCAAAATCCCCCTGTAGAGGGACAGGCCCGACTTGAGCCTTGTGACCCCCTTCGCGCCCCTCAGGGGCTTCTGGGCGCCTCGGCCCCAGCCCCCGGTCCCATTCCCGGCCCCGATTCCCGGTTCCGGTCCCGGCCCCTGCCCCGGCCGCTGCCAGCCCCGGCCCTGGCCCCAATCCAGCCCCAGCCCCAGCTCTGGTTCCGACCTCGGCCTCGGCTGGCCCCGGAGGCCTCCATGGATGGGGACCCTCGGAAATTGTGGGCGACGCGCGCGAGGGGTGGGCGCGCGAGAGAGGCGCGGCTTTCCGAGAAGGCTCTGCGGGCTTCTAAAGAGGGCACGGGGGCCTTCCCAGAAGGTGATGGGCCTGTTCTCCACCACCACCGCCACAAGTTGGAGGGGGAGGGGGTCCTCCTCCTCCTCCTCCTCCTCCTCCTCCTCCTCTTCCTCCTCCTCCTCCTCCTCCTCCTCCTCCTCCTCCTCCTCCCCCATCCAACTTATGGTGGTGGTGGTGGTGGAAATCAGGCCCATCAAGAAGGGCCCTGGGGCTCCCAAGGGAGCCTCTGCCAAGCCGGGGTGGCCTCTGAGGAGCCCCCTGCCCTTTTGGCTGCCAACCCGCCTTCTCCAACGACCGCCCCCCATCGCGCCAGCGCCCTGTGTGCGCACCGCCAGGTCTCCGCAGGTTCCCAGGACGCCTCCCGAGGCTTCCGGGGGGCCCGCGGAGGGTCGGTCCTCGACCCTCGATCCTCGTGCCTGGATCCTCGATCCTCGGTCCTCGACCTCGATCTTCGATCCTCGTTCCGCGATCCTCGGCTCTCGATCCTCGATCCTCGATCCTCGATCCACGATCCTCGGCTCTCGATCCTCGATCCTCGATCCCCTCGATCCTCGAGCCCCTCGACCTTCGGCCCTCGGCAACGGCGGTGGCGACGGCGGCGGCGGCGGCTGCGGCGGCGGCGACGACGACGCGATCGATGGGCGGCCGCGCACGTGATCCTCGGGCGGCAGTCGCGCGGCCGGTGCCCCGCACGGCTTCACGGGTCCAGTGCTGCTGGCGGCGGATGTCCCCAGAGGCCGCCAGCATCTCAGCGGACAGGCGTCACGGTGGGCGGATTCTGGCCCTTTTCGGCTTCCGGAGGCCCTCCCCCGGCTCGGGACCCTTTCGCAAATCGGGGGTGGACAGAACCACCAACAGTGACACGTCGATTAGTGAATTGTCCGTTTTCGGTTCTCGAGAGGGCGCCGTGGCCGTTATTTTCCAGGCTTGCGCCCGCCAGGTTTGGGGCTCAGATCGTTTTCACTAAACCACGTTTTACTAAAGGGGGGTCTGTCCATCCCCGAGCAAAGGCTCGGGATGTGCGTCCGATTCTGGGGTTAGGGGTCCAGAGCGCTGGGGTTCACCCGGCGAGAACGGCGCGACGTGGGACAAAGGGGGTGGCGCCGGGGGGAGCGTTGGCCTTCTGAGAAAGGGGAGGCTGCTGCGAAGGCAGGGGGGGCGCTGCGATCTTAGAAGCCCCGTGCGTGGCGGGGAGTCTAGGTCGGTTTCGGGCCAGGAATCGTTGGGGGGGGTCCGAAGAACAGCTCGCCACGGGTCGGGGGGGCGGTTGTGGTCCTCATTCCGCTGAGTGCACAAGGGGCGGGGACAAATTCGGGGGCCCAGTTGCGCAATCATTTTCGAAGCGTTTTGCAAACCTGCTCTTGGTTGGTTCGGTGGCATCGGCACTGCTCGGGACACGGCACGATGCTCCCGCGGCCGCAGGGACTGCATGCGAACGCTCCGAGTCAACGAGTTGTCGTCTCGCAAGGATGAAACGCACTCGTTCGCTTGAAACACATTACGAGCAGATGCCACGTGTCGGTCGACACGCCGGCAGCACTTCAAACGTGCTTGTGGCGAATCTCTCGGCCAGCAAATTCCGTAGCTTTGGACCAGCCCAACGAGTGCCCCCTCGAGGGGCGACCAGCCAAACCATTCCGCTTAACACACAGACGATTGCGCCATGTGCTGAGTGTTTCTTAAAATGGCCACCCCGAGGAACGCAACTGGTTGTGACTTGGTACTGGCGTGCCAGCACTCTCTAGGCATGCGCATTGCACAAACGGTTGCGCGACAACCTGTGCAGTCGTGTCAGCCACAAACCATTGTACTGCAACCGCTTGGCCACAAACCATTGCAAATCAGTCGTTTGCGGTTCACCTTCCAGGCTGACCCGCGGGTTCGACCAAATCCAGCCCCTGGTGTCGATCTAGCTGCACTCCCTTCTCTTTTCTTCCTTCCCTGTTACCATATTAATTCCGAACTTGTGCTTCATGACGCAAATTACGTCAGGCGCTTATCTTGCGGGCCTCCCTACCTTTTTGTTCAAATCCCTTCCTTGTTTTCTTGCGGTTGGGGGTCAGCGATTTTGCGAATAACGTACGAAGTATTAGCACGTCTACTTTTCCAACGCCTTCAACCCAAACTCGAAACAATCACAGCGTTCGCGCCGATGTGGCCTCCGCGCAGAAAAATCAGGTGATGGCGCCTCCATCGTTCTGGAAGAGCTCTGTTGCCAATCTTGCGAGTGGCGGCGAGCTCTTTGGGTTGTCAGCCTCGACTTGAGCGCGGCAGCGCGTGTATTCGCTTCCCCTGACAGTTTCTGAAAAGGGATTATTTTAGAAAACATGTCTTAGATCAACACATGTGCACCGCATAGCACTATTCGACATGGGTCAGAGCGCCGACCACCCCTGGAGGCATCCGCAGGCGTCCGGAGGCCCCTGGAGGCCCAGGAGCGCCCAAAACTCTCGGCCGCGGCTTTCGGTCGACGACGTTGACGACGAGGAGGAGGAGGAGGACGACGACGACGAAGGCGACGATGACCGCGACGACGACGTGGACGACGACGACGACGTGGACGACGACGACGACGACGACGACGACGACGACGACGGTGCTCGCTCCGCGACCCGCTGGGTGGGGTTGCCGCGACGATGCCAGCGCTTGCGCCAATCGCGTTCGGCATCGCTGGCACCGCCGTCGTTGTTTACGCTGCGCTGCCGCCGAGTTCGGCGTCGACGTCGTCGCCGACGCCGTCGTCGCCTCGAGAGGCCGAGAAGGCCGCGCCGGTGCCCGTCGTGGGCGGCATCTTGCCAGAGGGGGCGGCCGCGAAGGCGGGCGCGCAGGCGCGCGCGCGCGTGCTAGAGGATGAGCGCCGCCCACTTGCGCGCGCGACGGCGGCGGCAGCGGCGACTGACGGCGGCGGCTGACGACAACGACGACAGCGGCGGCGACGGCAGTGCATCCCAAACGCTGCAACTCCTGGGATGTTTTTCTGGGCAGACGGCCCCTGGGACCTTCAAAAACAGAGGACTGCCCCTCCCCCCGTCAGGCAAGAGCAGCGCAGCTCCTCCGCCTCCTCTTCCTCCTCCTCGTGCGCCAGCCTCTGTCCAGATGGCTCGGTGCGCATCAGGCTGCGTGAGCTTCTCCTCCTCTTCCTCCTCATCACCCTTCAGCTCCTCCTCCTCCTCCTCCTCCTATAATTCCTCCTTCTCCTCCTCTTCCTCCTCACCACCACCCGCACCATCATCATCATCATCATCATCATCATCATCATCATCATCGTTGTCATCACCATCGTCATTATCATCATCAGCATCAACATCCGCATCATCACTACCATCATCATTATCAGTATCATCAGCATCGTCATCTTCATATTCACCACCATCATCATCACCATCATCATCACACGCATCGTCATCATCAGCATCATCATCACCATGATCGTTATCACCATCATGATACCACCACCAGAATCATCACCATCATCATCACCGTTATTCTCATCATTATCATCATCATCGTCATCATAATCGTCATCATTCGCGTCACCGTCATCGTCATTGTCATCACCATACTCATTATCGTCATCATCATCACCATCCTCACCATCACTATCACCGCCTCTTCATCATCATCATCACCATCATCGTCATCATCATGATCAGCACCGTCATCATCATCACCAGCATCATCACCAGCATCATCACCAGCATCGTCATCATCAGCATCATCATCATCATTGTCATCAGCACCAACACCATTATCACCATCACCATCATCAGTATCACCATCATCGTCACCACCACCATCATCATCACCATCATCACCATCACCATCACCATCTTCGTAATCTTTATCGTCATCGTCATCATCAAAATCATCATCGTCATTATCATCATCACAATCATCATCACCATTATCGTTATCATCATAATCAGACCCGTCATTCTCACCATCATCATCACCAACATCGTCATCATCAACATCATTAGCATCATCGTCATCATCATAATCATTACCATCAGCATCAGCATCACCATCACCATCATCATCATCATCACCATCTTCGTCACCACTATCATCATCATGATCAGAATCATCATCGTCATCGTCACCGTCTTTGTTATCATCGTCATCGTCATCGTCATCGACATGCTCATCGTCATCATCATCACCATCATCACCATCACAATCACCATAATCACGTTCATCATCATCACCACCATCATCATCATCGTCACCACCACCATCATTACCATCACCATCAGCATCACCATCACCGTTATCATCATCATCACCATCATCATAATCATCATCGTCATCATAATGATCCTCATCATCGGCATCGTCATCGTCATCATCACAATCATCATCGTCATCATCATCATCATCATTACCGTCATCACCATGATTACCACCGCCATTATCATCATCATCATTATTCTGATTGTTCTTATCACTATTACCATGTTTGTTATCATTATCCTTACTACTGTTTTCGTCACCACGACCATCATCATCATTGTCATCGTTATCACCACCATCACCATCACCATCGCCATCACCATCGCCATCACCATCACCATCACCATCATCATCATCTCTATCTTCACATCACCATCAACATCATCATCACAAGCATGATCATCACCATCATCAGCATCACCAGCATCATCACCATCATCATCATCACCACCACCATCATTATCATCATCATCATCATCATCATCATCATCATCACCATCCTCCTCCTCCTCCCCTTCCTCTTCTGCCCCCCCCTCCCCCCAGCACGGCTGCTGCTGCTCCCCCCTCCCTTTTCCTCCTCGTTCTCCCCGTTCTGCTGGCCCTCGCCGCCCCCCCCGCCCTTGCCACCTCCAGCAGGCCTCCAGGACGACCTCCCCGATGCCTCCAGGGGACCTCCCCTGGGACTCTTTGGAGGCCCCCTGTCCCCGTCTCCCCTGCTCGTGCCGGCCGCTCCCTCCCTCCCCTGCCCCGGATCTTCAGCGCCGTGCTTCTCTGACAGCCGGCGCCTGCAGAGTTCGGGGCCCCCTCCCCGGGGGCCAGCGCTGCATCCCGAGCTGTTCCTTGGAGGCCTCGGGGCCCAGGGAGGGCCTCGTGTAGGCCGACGAAACGGGGGCACCTTCATGCCGTTCTCTTCGATAATAATACGAACAACAATAGCAGTACTAGTAATAACTACGGACATCTATCATAATGGTAATGAAGGGTAAGACCTCTCATAATCATACCACCTTTCACGAATCATGACGTCACTGGGAATACTCATACTAACAAAAGTAATGATACCACTAATCAGAATAACACTAGTACGAACAACAACACTACTAATCATAGTAGTAGTAATAGTAATACGAATGCTAGTACGAGTAACACTAGCAATAACACTAACACTCTTGACGCGAATACTACTACTACTACTACGATTACTAGGACGAGTAATACGAATGACACTATCAATAATAACAGTATGATGAATAATACGATTACGAGTAATAGTACTACTAGTACTAACAATACTAATACTGACGATGGTACACATACTGATGATACCATTGCTACTCATGATCGTAATATGAGTAATGCTACTGACAATGCTAACAACACCAACTATACTACTACTATTAAGAATACTCATAACAATAACATTAATACTTATAATAATGAAGGTCATAATACTAGTACTAAGACTACTACCACTAGTCATATGCATAAGACGACTAATCATACGAATAATAATGAGACTACCACTAAAAATAATAATAGTACAGTTTATATTACAAAAAAATACTATTACTACGAATATTAGTAATAGTAGTACTACTAATCATAAGAATAATACTAGTAATACTACTGATGATGATACTAATAATGATACGACGAAGATGAGGAGGAGGGGGAGGAGGAGGTGGAAAAGGAGGAGGAGAAGAAGGAGGAGGAGGAGGAGACGGAGAAGGAGGAGGAAGAGAAGGATAATGGGACGGAGGAGGAGACGGAGGATGAGGATGAGGAGGAGGAGGAGGAGGAGGAGGAGGGGAGGAGGGGGAGGAGGAGTAGGAGGAGGAGGAGGAGGAGGAGGAGGAGGAAGTGACGGACAATGATGACGGTGGGGGTGGTGATGGTGATGATGATGGGGCGAGGAGAAGTAGGAGGAGGGCTATGACGACGACGGCCACGTCGACCCTGGGGTACAAACGTTCTCCAGCCGCCCCTTTGCGGAGCTTTGTCTTCTCCCGCCCGCAGGTGCGCGTGGCGAGCTCAGACTGCGAGGCGCCGCGCCGCACACTTGGACGGTGGAGGACAAGGAAGGGCAGGAGGGAGGAGGAGGTTCGAGGATGGAGGTTCGCGGCTTGAGTTTTGCGCCACCTTCGGCGCTCTCGTGGCCACAGCTGGATCGCCCTCGGATTTTCAGGTCAAAGCGCATCCCAGGACAGGTCCGGGGACAGATTTTTCAGGTTAGGAAGAGGAAGGGAGAAAAGTGGGGAGGAGGAGAAGGAGGAGGAATACGATGGTGATGATGATGACGATGATGACGATGACGATGGTGATGGCGATAATGATGGTGCTGACGATGATGGTGGTGATGCTTATTTTGATGATGACGGTGATGCTGATGATGACGATGCTAATTATGATGCTTATGTTGATGATGCTGCTGGTGGTGCTGCTGCTGATGATGATGCAGTTGATGATGAAGGTGATGATGCTGATGATGATGATGTTACTTCTGATCTTGAGAATGATGCTGGTGATGATTCTGATTATGCGTATGATGATGATAATGGTGAGGATGATGCTGATGCTAATGATGATGTTACTGATGCTGATGGTGATGATGACGATGGCGGTGGTGATGTTGATAATGATGATGCTGGCAATGGTGCTGGTGATGTTGGGGATGCTGATGGTGATGATGATGATGCTTATTATGATGATGACGATGGTGCTGATGATAACGATGCTGATGAGAACGATGATGCTGATGATGCTGATGATGCTGATGATGATGCTGCTGGTGCTGCTGCTGCTGATGAATGATCATGCTGATGCTGATGCTGATGATCTTGATGCTGATGATGAGGATCCAGACTATGATGATGATGATGATGATGATGATGATTATCATCATCATGAGGGCGATGCTGATGCTGCTGATGATGATGACGATGATGATGATTCTGATGATGCTGATGATGCTGCTTATAAGGATGATGATGCTGCTGCTGATGATGATGATAATGCTGATTATGCTGATTATGCTGATAACGATGCTGATGATGATGATGAAGAAGATATAGACTCTGCTGATGATGACGATTGCGATGGTTATGATGATGATGCTGATCATGATGATGATGATGATGATGATGATGATGATGATGATGATGATGATGATGATGACCGTGATCTTTATGTTGGTGATAAAGGTTGTGCTGCTGATGGTCGTGAAGAAGATGAAGAAGATCAAGACTATGATGATGCTGCTGATGATGATCACGATAATGATGATGATGAGGATGATGGTGATGGTGATGATGATGATGATGATGATGATTGTCATTATGATGGTGATGGTGATGATGATGATGATGGTGATGACGATGGTCGTGTGGATGCTGTTGGTGATGCTGATACTGATGATGATGCAGTTGTTGACGATGATGATGATGATCATGATGATGATAATGATGATGATGATGATGATGATGATGATGATGATGACGATGGTGATGATGATGATGATGATAAACATGATGCTGATGATGCTGATGATGATTATGATGACAACGATGATGATGATGCTGAAGATGCTGATGATGATGATCATGCTGATGATCATTGATGATGATGACGATGATGATGAGGATGCTGATGCTGGTGATGATGATGATGGTGGTGGTGATGATGATGATGCTGATGCTGACGCTGATGATGATGCTGATGCTGATGATGATGCTGCTGATGATGTTGATGATGATGCTGATGATGATGATGATGATGCCGAGGAGGTCAATGAACATGATGATGATGATGATGATGATGATGATGCTGATGATGATGATGATGATGATGATGATGAGGAGGAGGAGGAGGAGGAGGAGGAGGAGGAGGGGTAGGAGGAGGAGGAGGAGGAGGAGGAGGAGGACGAGGAGGAGGAGGCAGAGGAGGAGAAGGAGGAGGAGGAGGCGGAGGAGGAGGAGGAGCAGGAGGATGAGGACGGGGCAGGAGGATGAGGAGGCGGAGGAGATGGAGAGGGAGGATCCCATACCTCCAGCGTCTTGAACATGCAATCCTTCTCTGGTGGCCTATTTCGGGCGTACGGAACAGTATCCAAAACGAGGAAGCGGCTCCAGGGAAGGGGTGGTGACTTCCATGGATCCCGCATTGTTGAAGAATGACGTCAGAGTTTTGGGATGGAAGTGGCAGCAGGAAGATGAAGGACAGGGGATGTGATGAGGGGGGGAGGAGGCTGGGATGAATGGGAAAATGAAGGGAGGATGATGAGGACAGTTGTGGAGAGTAAGAATGGAGGATTGAGGCAGCAGCGTGGGAGGGAAGTACAAGGGGAGGACAAGGGAGGACGGGCCATGGAGGAGGGAAGGAGGGAAGGGAGAGATGCCCGAGAGAGCGCGGAGGGAGGATGAAGGATGGACGGGATGGAGGGTGAAGGAGGAGGGAGGGACAAATCCAGGGATCGATCTTCGACCCCCGAAGCCGATCCTCCAACATCTTGGACACCCAGAGACGCAAGCTGTTTTCGCCGTTTTCGGTCCCTCAGGCCATCGAAGCCCAGTCTGTTTCGGGTCTGGGCATGTGTCGGCCGATCGATGAGCCGGGATGCTCCAGGAGCGAGCATCGAGTCTTTCGTCCTCCCCTCTCTGCATCTTCCCATACGGTGGGGCGTTCGTTAAGGAATGTGCCCAGGAGGATTCAGGCCCTGGAGGATCTCTTATCTGATGAGGGCGGCGGTGATTTCTTTGGCCAGTGCACGATTGGAGTTCCACCCGTTTCCAGACCCTGGATTCCTTATCTAAGGGTTCCTTGTCCAATTCCGTCACCGTACCTCAACCGGACTGTTCTTCTCAATCCGCAGGCCCCAGAGGTCCCGGTCTCCTCCCAGGGGGTAGTTTTCTGCCCGGAACAGTTCTGGACGGCGAGCAGAAAGCCGGGACCGAGCAGGACGATCACCCGCAGGCTTGGGTCCTTTTCGGGCTCCAGAGGCCTCCAGGGGTATGCGGGGACGTCGGGGGACCTCTGGCGGGCGCGCGCGCATTCGGTCGCCTCCGCCCCCGCTCCATGCGCCCCTCGGTGGTCCTCCCCCTCGTCCTCCCTTCTCCCTCCGCCGTTTCCTCCCTCCGCCGTCTCCTCTCCCCCCCCTCCTCCCTCCTCCCTCCTCCATCCTCTCTCCTTCTTCTTATGCCTCTCTCTTCCGTCCCCCTCCCCCCTATTCCCGCCTTCCTCCTCCTCCTCCTCCTCCTCCCCCCCCTCCCCTCTCCACCTTGGGAGATTTCCAGGGTCATTCTGATGTCGGGAATTTCTCCTTCCTTCTCCTCTCCAGAATGTCCTTCCAGGAGCTCTCGGAGGCTTCTGCGAGGGACCTCTGGGGATTCCGACGTCGTGAACAAGTCAAGGCGGAGGTTGTATTTCTCTGTTGGCGCCTCAAGGGGCTGCCTCTGGGCGCTGGGGCATCAAGAAAGCCGTTCCCCTGGGAAGGGGTCGAGAGCTCAGGGGCCTCGGAACACTGGAGGTCTGCGATCCCTCCTTCTTCCTCCCCTCCCCTTATGATGTTCCAGCCTACTTTAGCTTTGATCACCATTGATCACCAGAAAGAATTTCGAGCACCAGCAACAAAGTACCGAAACTCGAGGGTTTTCACATGTCGGGCCCTGGGAGACACTCGTCCGACACTGTTTCGACACTCTTTCGACACTTTTCCGGGTGCTCGAAATTATTGCTGGGATGTGGTCCTTAAATACGATGGAAGCAACATAACCCTCCCCTCTCCTCCTCTTCCTTCATCCCTCCCTTTTACTCCCTCACTGGGGGACGACCGAGGATCTACCGCCCGTGCCGCTTGCCACGCGCGAGGCGTACAGGGTGCGCATGTTCGATCTGGCCGCCGCGGCCCACTTCTCCGACAGGACGGCCCGGGGGGGAAGCCCGGGGGAATCTTCGGCGGGGAACATGCATCCATTTCCACAACCTCGCGGCCTGGCCCGTCCTGCAAACGCTTCTGCCTGCAGGGAGGGAGCGGATCGTAGCATCTATGTCCAAGCGATAGGAATCAGGGCGGACCCGCGCGCGCGGCCTTCGTCGTCGTTGGTATCGCGAGGGGCGGTTGCAAACTTCATTATTATTACTATTATTATTCTTATTGTTATAATATTATTATTGTTGTTAGTATTATCTTTATTTTAGGTATTTATGTATTTATGTATGTATTTATGTATTTATTTGTTTATTTATTATCATTACAAAATTATTCTCATCATTATTATTATTGTATTATTATTATGATTATCATTATTCTTAGTCTGTGTGGTATTATTACTATTATTCTTAGCATCATCATCATTATTATGATTATTAATATTATTACTACTATTATTATTATTATTATTATTATTATTATTATTATTATTATTATTATTATGATTATTATGATTATTATGATTATTATGATTATTATTATTATTGTTATTATTGTTATTATTGTTATTGCATATTATATTAAATTATTCAATAATAATAATAATATGTTTTCCCCAAGAGGCCTCCAAGACGGCCTAGGAGGCCTCCGGGAGCGCTCCAAGGCTGCGCACGAGTGGCTGAGGACGGCCCCAAGACGGCCCAAGAGAACCCCAAGACGACTTCGAGAGGGGTCCCAGAAGGAGAAAGCCACTCTCGAATTCCGAGCTTCCGGCCCAACACATCCCAGGAAGCGCCAAAACGCCGCCCAGAGGCGCCAAAAGGCTTCCAAAATCAGCCCAAGACGTTCCGAGAGGCACCCCAAGAGAGGTCCAAGAAGCAAAAATGGTCCCATTCCTTTGGGAAAACGTATACTTTTCGCATGGTCGCCTGTTGGGTTTTCACCGCGTCCAACACGTCCGAAGAGGCTCCCAAGACGGCCTAGGTGGCCCCCAAGAGAGTTCCAAGACGGTTCACGAGGCGCCCAGGACGGCAAAATTGGATTCCAAAATGGCCTAAGAGAGCCCCAAGGCGTGCCCGAGAGGGGTCCCAGAGGGAGAAAGCCACTGTAGAATTCCGAGCTTTCGGCCCCAAGAGGCTCCAGGAGGCGCCAAGAGAGCTCCAAGAAGCCCCCACGAGAGACCCAGGACGCCCCAAGAGGCTCCAAAGGCGGCCCAAGAGAGCCCCAAGATGGGCCCGAGAGGGGTTCCACGATTCCTGGGTCTGTGACTCGACAGAACCTAAGCGCGCGCGAAGCGCGCGCGTGGTTCTAGTAATAATCTGTTTTCGGTGCGTTCTCGTGAAATCACGGCAGGACGCAAGCTCGAAACATTGACGGGAACTTGGCCGTCTTCACATGCGAGGTAGGGTCCAAGCCCGGCAAGGTTTTTGTTGCCGACGACGCGGAGGTTTGGCCCTTGGGCTATTTCCATCCCCGCACATAGGCTATCAGCTAAAAGGCCCGTTCTCGCCAGGGGATGTACTCAGATTCGCAAGCGGCGGATCTCGAGGCGATCTCGGATTTTTCGTCCGAGTTTGATGGGGTTGCTGACGGCCGCGCTATGGCATGCGAGTGGTCAGCTGTCGCCGCCACGGCTGGGACGGATCGACAAACTGGTGATGAAAGTGTCATTCCAGTAGAGTATAACGTCGATGCGCCGGCGCCCGCAGGTGCCTCGCACAGCGTGGCCATTGCGGCGGGGAGACGTGTTGCGGCGGGAAGAAGCCTGCTGCTACAGTCTCGGCGGCGGGAAGACCTGCTGCTGCGGGCGCCGTGGCGGGGAAGCCTGATGCTGAAGTGATTGCGTCGGGGAAACTTGGTTTTCTGGGAAGGCCGGCCCCATCCAGGATGATTTCGGAAGAGCCAGTCGCACACCATAATACAACAGAGCTGCAATTCTTCACGCTTCGCGTATCCCCACCACCCTTTGTCGCGGCTCGTTGTCGCCGTCGGTGTCCCGCTGGACCTTCTTCCACCGCCTGTACTTCCTGTTCGGCTTGGGTCGACGTCCTCGGGTACGTTCCTTCGTTCGCACCTGGACTTCGGGAACGTCCGCGCCATTTTGGCTGCGTTTGGTCTCTACGGTGCTACCTCAGGCCCGTCGGACCGCTGCATGCCCGTTCAGGGGCTGCCTCTGGCTCCTGGATTGCTTCGGCCTTGCCGCCCTGGACGCTGTCGTGAGCCGCCCGATCCGCGGCCCCGCGCGCGTTAGTTAATTTAGTCGCGTCCGCGGCCCATTCGCGACCTCCCGCCGCTGGCGCTTCCGCCTGCGGCTGTAAAAAAAAAATACCCCCACCAGTTGACTCGCCCTCTGGACTTTTCCTTGCGGGCCGCCGATCAAAAAAGTATCCCCACCAGCTGCGTCGCGGCGTTGGCCTATGTGCCTGCGTTGCCAATCGTCTCGCATTGCGCCCCTGTCGAGATTGACCCGCTCTCTGGAGTCGTCCTTTGAGCCGCAGATCAAAAAAGCGTATCCCCACCAGCCCATTCAGAAACCTTGCCCTTCAGAGCTGACGGGAAACAGGACGAAGAGACACATCTAGGGAAACAAAGCGAGCAACGGGGCGGCCTTGGAAGGCCTCTTCGGGCCATCCCTTGGTGCCGCGTGGGGGCGAGGGGAGGAGGAGGAGGAGGAGGAGGAGGAGGAGGAGGAGGATGAGGACGAGGAGGACAAGGACGCGGATGAGGACGAGGACGAGGAGGACGAAGACTAGGATGAGTACGACGCGGACGAACACTCATAGAACCATCTAGAGGTATTATTGCGGCTGCTGCTGCTGCTGCTGCTGCTGCTGCTGGTGCTCTCAGGGAGTTTTTGGGGCCCTCTTGGAACCCTCTTGGTAAACCTGGAAGGCTTCTCGGGATCATCTAGGAGGCTATCGATTACAAGATGGGGGGGTCCCCCACTCAGCTCCCCCCTCAGGAGCCAGCAAACTGCTACTTGGGGCTCTATTGGAACGCTCTTGGGCGCTCGTGGAGCGGTCTTGGGGCCGTTCGGAGCATCTTGGGAGCCATCTTGAGCAAGCTTGGGCTATCTGAGCCATCTTTCTTGGAGGTCATCTTGGGCTCTCTGAGACCGCTCGAGGGCCTCTTGGGGGCCTCTCGGGTGCCTCTTGGGGTCCTGTTGGGACCCTCTTGGAGCCCTCTTGGGCCTCCCTTGGGGCTCTCTTGGGAGCCCTGGAGCGCCTCTTGGGACCATCTTCGAGGCTATCGATCAAAGGACGGATTCACCCGATCGAGGCCCCCCCTCGGGGGCCACGATCCTCGTGAGAGGTGTCAAAAATTGGCTTTCCCAGGGCCCATCTTGGACGCTCCAACGGATCGCGGCCCCTCCCGTCCAGTTCCAGGGTAGGGGGTAGGGGGAGGGGTCAAGACGCCCTCCCCGCCCGCAAGCCGTCTCGCTCACTCCCACCCGCCCTCCCAACACGTACGTAGCACCCGAGCCTGGCCCGAGCCGCAGCATATGCAGCAGTCGTCTTTGGATGGCCAGCTACTGGGGGCCAATCCGCCGCCGCCGCCTCCGCCGCCGCCGCCGCCCGCCGCCGCCGCCGGCGCCGCGCCGCCGCCGCCGCCGCCGGGCTCCTGGAAGGCCCTACGGAAGGGCACCAGGAAGCTCAGCACACACGACGCGGCCGGCCTGGGCAGGAGCCGGATGCGCACGTGGCCCCGTGCCATTCTGGCTCTGGTTTTTTGTATGTCCCGGCACGCAGGCCCTCCAGAGTTGTTCGGGGATCAGGAGATGGGGGCCAGTGCAACCGGGGGTCACCCAGAGCGCCGTCTCTTGCAGGATCCTGCTGAGCAAGGGGTGCACTGACCCGGGCTTGGGCGCGGGATCCAGCAGGATCCTGCAAGATCTTGCAGGACCCTGCAAAGTTCGACTGGCCCAGGTCTGGATTGACCCGGGTCAGCAGAGCCCCGAATTGTGGCCTCCGTTGTTCCACACGTGAATCCAGCCATGTGTGTTTCCGGCTTCGTGGTGCAGGGCTCCACGGCAGAGGTCTGTTGGCAACTCTTGGGGTGGAAGTCGCTTGTGGCCAGGAGCGAGTGAGCCAGGCCGATGAGCCATACCAGAACCGATGGCTAGTTCAGCCTCCCCGGAGACGCAACGCAGCAGAGGGACGCGTTCGAGACGCGATGCTGCCTGCAAAGTGCCCTGCAGATCAATCGACCATTTTGCCATGAGCCAAAAAGGGCTGCTTCTGCTGCTACGTTTATGTCGGGCCTGTCCCCCTACAGGGGGATTTTCGACGGAAAAAAAAAAGAGTACCCCCAAAATATTCAAAATGGTCAAAAAATACTTCCAAAATCGTCCCCAGACTATTTTGGGATTATTTTTTGTAAATTTTTGGGGTGTTGTTTATCTTTCGTCGAAAATCCCCCTGTAGTGGGACAGGCCCGACTCAATGCTACGTCCGTGCAGGCAGGGCCGGTGCGCCTCGTGGCGCGAGCGGACCCCTGAGACGAGAAGTGGCCACAGCTAGGCCGCACTCTAGAGTTTTTGAACGCCGCCCAGCTCCAGTCGACACGAAGTGGCCCCGAGCTCGGCCCGACGGCTCGGTCGATCCTTTCTCCTCCTCTACATAAACGTCCTGCCTCGAGATTGTGTCAACACCGGGCCACTGGAGCTTTCGACACCGTCCCCGGGGCCCTTAGTCTTGAGCAGTTTTTGATGGCCACGGGGTCCGACCACGGTCCCCAGGGGTCCAAATGTGCGCAGGTGTGGCAAGCGGAACAAGCACCGCAGGTCCTCGATGGTTCCTGGAGGTCTTCGGAGGCCCACGGACGCCCCCAGAGGCTCCCAGAGGTCACCAGAGGCCGGACAAGGGCCAGAAACTGCCAAACACGCGGACCTTCGATCCTCGATCCTTCCTTTCTCCCCTCCGTCCCTTCCCAGACATGCGACGTCCTGATTTTTTCAAGACGGCGTCCCTGGAAGTCCTGACCCTTTCCCCAGGACCGGTTTTTCGTCCAGACTCGTTGTTCGACGGTCCCGAGGCCCGGCGAGGGCCCCCGAGGGCCGAAAATAGCCAAAAACCTCCCGCCCAGATGTTTTTTATGTTTTTTTTTTTACGACGCGATCCTGTCTGGGCTCATCCCCTCTCTCCTTCTCTCTCTCCTCCTGCCCTCCCCGCGCACCGGCGAGGGCACCCAGCTGGTTCTACCACTTCCGGTCCCTGGAGAAGGAGGCGCGGCAGAGCCTCGGGGCCAAGCTGGCCAGCGCGCGGGAGGCGGCCTCGCGGGCTCCCTCCGGCCTCCAAGCTAAGCTCTGGCCCGCGGACGGGTCGAGGATCGGGCGCCGAGGCTGGAAGAGGAGGAGGAGGAGGCGGAGGAGGGGGCGGAGGAGGAGCAGGAGGAGGAGGAGGAGAAGGAGGAGGAGGAGGATGAGGATTAGGACGAGGATGAGGATGAGGATGAGGACGAGGATGATGATGATGATGATGATGATGATGATGATGATGATGATGATGATGATGATGATGACGAGGAGGATGAGGATGAGGATGAGGATGAGGATGAGGATGAGGATGAGGATGAGGATGAGGATGATGAGGATGATGAGGATGATGATGATGAGGATGATTATGAGGATGAGGATGAGGATGATGATGATGTTGATGCTGATGGTGATGGTTATGATGATGATGATGATGATGATGATGATGATGATGATGATGATGATGATGATGATGATGATGATGATGATGATGATGATGATGATAATGAGGATGAGGATGAGGATGCTGATGATGATGATGATTATGATGATAATGATGATGATGATGATGATGATGATGATGATGATGATGATGATGATGATGATGATGATGGTGATGATGATGAAGATGATGATCATGATGATGATGATGCTGATGATGATGATGATGATGATGATGATGATGATGAGGAGGAGGAGGAGGAGGAGGAGGAGGAGGGCCGCCATTATCTGACGCGTCGCTCCGAGTCGAGCAACGCTGTTGCAAAGCACCATGGAAAAGAGGAGGAGAAGGACAAGAGGAGGACGAGGACGAGGGAGGAGAGGAGGAGGAGGAGGAGGAGGAGGAGGAGGAGGAGGAGGAGGACCAGTGTCAGCCCAAGACTCCTCAACGATGTTGGAATAACCCTCCCTCCAAGTTCCCTTTTCATAGGCTCCTACAAAGCTTCATTTTCACTGAGGGAAATGCCGCGTTGGGAGACAACCGTTTGAAGATCCCGGAACGTGCTGAAACATCGTTCTCGGGACCCCAGCGCCACGAATTAACCTGACTGTTGCGTCTTGACGATCCTGAATCGTACCAGAACGCCATTCCTGGGACTTCGACACCACGAATCAACGTAACTGTTACGCCTTGACAATCCTGAACCGTTGCAAGACATAGTTTCTGACATGTCAGCCATGCAATTCCGTGAAACTTTTACAATGTTTTAACTGTCGTTGCGTTGATAATTCTGACGAGGTGGAGCTACAAAACAAAGTGTCCTAGGCGTGGCGAGCTTTCTACAAGAACATACACCTACTATGTAGCCGGGGGGCACCGATCCAGGCGCGACTGAAGTTTCTCTGTTCTGCTGTGTCCATTTCACTTTTTTGGTGCAGCGGAAGCTGGAATCTGACCGTCAAGCAGGCCTCTACGTTGCAGGGGGTACAGCAGGCGATGTTCAGGAAGATGATGCCGTTACGGAAGCGTCCGGCGGATACGACCGCAGCATTAATGGAGCGAATTGGGCAGAACAGCAAGCGAGCGAAAGAGCAGTACGGTTTCCAAGAGTGGAGCAATGTTTATCTTGAGC